GATTCTGTCAACAAAACCATGCTTAACCGTCACAAAGAACAGTCATGAACTCCCAAGACCTATCTGTTCATTATCGATAGTAAATAAAATTCAAATTAATACAGTTGGAGACTAGGAGAAGAGCTTGTGTAGTCCTTCCATTGCTTTCCCACCATTACAGAGTCTGTCCGTGTGACGTCATCAGTTTCCAATCCCTGTTACTTAGTACAGCCCTTTGCACAAAACTTGCACCAGTCTGATCACGTGACTTGATAAAAAATATTAAGTCAAGCCTATGGCTAATCATCACGTGACTGTAACTGGTGGTGGCAAGTTTTGTGCAAAGGTCTTTTGTGTACATAGATATTAGAACCGGAAACTCCGGTTTCCGGTTCTAATATCTATGCTTAGTAATACAACAATCTATGGTTATTATTATTATTATTATTATTATTATTAAACAATTTTACAGGACATAGAATAAAGGAGCAATGCATGAGGTATAGATACTTAGAGTAAGTAGTCCTGAGGAATGTTGGGAACAAGGTCCCAACACCCAGAAAAAAAGAAAGAAATAAATAAAATATATAATTGAATTTAAGAAAAAGTTGATTTAATTGTACGTTTAGAGCAGGTGTTACACGGACATATGTAGTGAAATGAATGTGGATCATCTGGATCAAAATTGACGTTAAAATTTTTAATAAATATGTCTAATATGCTTTGTTTAAGTGATTGAGTGGAAAGATTGAGGTTGAGTGGAGGAAGGGAGTTGTATAGTCTTGGGAATCTATTAAAATACGAGTGACTTATGACAGATGATGAGGTATACCGGTGAACTAGTTTATGGTAATTGACAGATCTGGTTGAGTGGGAGTGGGAGCTAATAGAGAAGAAGTCCATGATGTTGAAGTTATGAGTAGGTGATTTGACTGAGGAGATAAAGAACATAATATCGGCCATTTCTAGGCGATACATTAGAGGTAAAATATTCAGTTTCTGTAGTCTGGTCTTGTAATCTGAGGAATAGTCATTTAAGAGGTATTTGGTAGCTCTTCTTTGAAAGCGTTCAAGAGCAGTTATGTCCTTGATGAGACAAGGATGCCAAACTGGAGCACAGTAAGAGAGAATGGGAAGAACTAAAGAGAGGTACAATTTCTTTTTTGCTTCAGTGGGAGTGATAGATATGGGAAAGACTCGCCTGATAGTACTTAAAGTACAGTAAGCCTTCTTTAGGATTGTGTGCATATGAGCAGACCAGGATAGATTTGAAGAGAAAACAACACCTAGATCTCGATGAGAATCTTTGACATTAATAGCAGACCCATCAAGGGAATAGGGAAAGGAGATAGGTGCTGACCTAGGACCTCTAAAGTTTAAAATGTATGACTTCTTTTCATTAAAAGAAAGTAGAGAAGATTTGCTCCAAGTACTTAAGCGGGTGAGGTCGTTTTGGAGTAGTTGACAGTCACTGATACAGGAGACTTTCTTTTGACATTTACTATCGTCTGCATACAAGAGAAGAGAAGAGTGTAAAACTGTGACAGGGAGGTCATTGATATATAAAATAAAGAGCAGGGGGCCAAGAATGCTGCCCTGGGGAACCCCAGATATCACAGGTAAGTGATTAGAGGAGCAACTATTGATATACACATATTGTGAACGGCCATATAAATAGGCACGGAAAAACTTCCAAGCAAAACCACGAATACCAGCATCCCATAGGTGAGTTAGCAACTTAGAGTGGGACACCGAGTCGAAGGCTTTGCGGATATCCAAGTAAATGACGTCGCATTGGGAACCATCAGAGAGAGAGGTAAGAATAGAGTTCAGGTGGAGTAACAGCTGTTGTAGGGTAGAGCGAGTACTGAGAAAACCGAACTGCTTACAACTAATAATGTTATCTACCAGATGATCATAGACGTTGTCATAGACTATTCTCTCGAAAACTTTAGAGATGATACAGAGAAGGGATATGGGTCGATAATTTACAATAGATGAGCGATCACCAGACTTGAAAACTGGAGTGACTTTATGAGTCCTCCACTCCTCTGGCAAGTATGACTGAATATAGCACTGATGAAAGATGTGATGAACCGGCTCACAAAGAGCTACAGCACAAGACTTCAGTAGAATAGCTGGAAAACCATCAGGACCAGCAGACTTATGAACATTTAGAGAAGATAGGCCCTTAAAAACATCAGCAACAGATATCTCAAAATCCTCAAGAACAGGACCAGAGTACGATGATTCATGGAGGTCAGGAGGATCCAAGTTATTAGTAAATACAGAATGAAAGTATTCATTGAAGAGAGCAGCCTTACTCGAGTCAGTGCTAGCAGTCACGGAACCATGATTCATGGTTGTAGGAAGAGAGTGCTGGGTGTGAAAACTATTAATGTATTTAAATGGAAGCAAATATTCAAAATGGCGATTACACATGATAAAGATCTTGATAACATCAGTTGATTTACATAGTAACAGTAAAAGGAAGAGGCCACAATTGCCTAGCCTCTTTTTTTCCACATGTTTCTTGTTCTTATTTTCTGACTAAATCACGGTTAAGTTGTTTATAGCGAGTAATAGTGAAACAGGCCGAGCTTCAGGACGATCAAGGACTCATTCAGGATGACTTTTGACATTGAGTTTGAGTCTGCCGCAGAGAAAGGTGCCTTTAGTCATCATTTAGAAGATTTTCAATCCTTGCTATTTAAGAACAAGCTAGATAGCTTTGGTCTGTTGACAGCCATGTTTAATTTTATAGTTTTAGTTAAAGCTGCATGATGCATGGCTCTTTTGAGTCTCTGCCGGCATAGGGAGTTAGTAAAACTGTCTGTACTCTTCTAAGAGTCTTTTTTAGATCTTGTGGATGCCTGTGGTGCTTGTATTCTGTGATTCTTCACTGCCCATTTTTAATTACATTCTAAAGCCACCCGCCATTTTTAATTGACTGGGCAGCCCACCCCCCTTTTATACCCGTGCTCATGCTCGGTGCTAGCTGTAGCAATGATCACGTAAGGTGGAGCAGTGGTTATATTCTGCACATGCTCGTTTAATACAAGACTAGGTTGGATTTTATCTGGGCCGGTAATTAGGAAAGGTGTTGAGCCTCATACTACATTAGTCACGCATGTGTTAAGGGCAGATGGTATATGTAGTGCCAGATCTCTAGATAAGGAGCTACACTCTTTTTGGAATATAGAGTCTATGGGTATTGTGGAAAGTGAAGACATAGTTCAGAATCAGTTTCATGATAATGTTTCATTTGAAAATGGTAGATATACAGTTTCTTTGCCTTGGAAGGAGTCAGGATTGTCTTTGCCTGACAACTATCAGATTAGTCTAAGAAGATTAAAGAGCTTGTACAAGAGATTGAAAAGGTCACCAGAGTTGCTTGAGAAATATGATTCTATAATTAGAGAGCAATTAGCCTTAGGGATTATTGAGCCTGCAGATGAAAGTAGTACCTTTAGTAGAATTCATTATCTGCCTCACCACGCAGTAGTGAGACAGGACAAATCTACAACTAAACTAAGGATAGTTTATGACGCTTCAGCGAAAGAAGATGGTCCTTCACTTAATGATTGTCTGTATACAGGACCACCCTTGCATAAGAAAATCTTTGATTTGCTTTTGAGATTTAGAACACAGCCTGTAGCGCTTATAGCAGATATTGAGAAGGCGTTCTTGATGATTAAGGTTAAGGAA